TCTTAAATTCTACAACAAACATTACTTTAATGTAGGAAATAGACTACTTTTTCAATGTGAGATCTCTAAGGTTTGATTATAATGAATGATGACAGGCAGGCTTGCCCCCCACGTATTCCACCTCCCCCCAGACACGCCTGTTTGCCACTCTACAAGCACCTAACACACGCTGATGTTACGCTGCCCAGCCTTTACATGTGTCAAGGTGAGGTGATCTTTACCTCCTAGTGAGATAGCACAGGTGTAGAAAAGGTCAGGCTGTTTTCAGAACTCTTTGCTACAGTGTTAACTAGCATAGGCCCTAGCTGAGGTCTGGGCTAAAGATGTTCTACAAAAGCATGGAAGAATGGTGGAAATATTTTTGAACTTCTGACCCAAGCTGGTTATTAAAAGTCATGATCAGCTCAGTTACAAGTATGATACTTATTATGAGCTTTCATGTAGATAATGTGATATTGAACTGTTTGTATTTTGTGTGATACAGTTACAGCAAATCTTATCTTAACTACAAAATTATTGCAGAAGTGGACTGTAACAATGTAATAATTTGTATCATTTAAGTAATAAATTATACTAATTTGCCCTTTTATCCAAATAACAATATTTAAAACTTTTTGAAACAATATTTCAATATTGTAAACATTGTATTGTTTTGTACCTGAATAATTTTGTTAGAAATTTTAAAAAGGTTTGAAATAATATTTCATTTTTATAAACATTCAATGATTTGTATCATGTTGATTTTGAATACATGCAGACCTGAGCTAGTGTTAAGTAAGTATGCCAAGCTCCCAGTATCAGACATGTCTCTGCCAGTGTTACACGTGTGATACAAGCGCAGATATTGTAGATGAGTGTATGATTTGAGAAAGAATGTGTAGATGGAAGGCTTGATTAACACTTCTGTGCTCACCTAAGACTGAATAAGAATATAATATAATATATTTAATATATACATATATCATAATATGTATACATATACAATTGGGACCTAATTTGCTATTTTTTAAATAAATGACTGTAGTGTGAAAAGGATATTTGTTCTAGAGGAAAGTTTTCTCCACTATTTAATTGCTGGCCACAAGCCCAGATTAATACCAGTAATGTGCAAGAAACCTTAGTCAGATAATTCTGGCGGGAAGATGTTCAAAAAGACCTATTTTAAAACAATAAATAAATAAATTTTAGCCCTTTCAAGCTTCTCCATCTGTTGCTTTATAGGATTTCAAGTGGATATGAATCAGCAAAAATATCAACTCAATATTCTTCATATTTACAGTTTTTTACCTGTATGGACTGAGTGAGACAGGTGTGGAGCTATTGGAAGTTAACCCTAGGGCTATCTCAACCATGTACTTCTTGTTACATTGGGTTGCATGTTCTGTTTGATAGGAAAATAATGGAACTCTTTAATTTTACCCAAAATGTACCCAGGATTGGGGGGGAAAATGTTACTTTGAAAAATTTGTCGGATTTACGCAATTAAAAATATTAATTTTTAGGCAACAAAATTTCAAGTTTTTACCGTACTCACGTGACGAAAAGAGACAATAAGGAGGATTAAGGAATTCATGGTAGTGTTTTGATCATCTTGTCTTTTTAGTCGAATTTGAAGACCATGCCTTGGATGTAAATTTGTTTTGGCTGTTTTATGAAAAATTTAAATTTAAATTTTGATTTTTTAGAGAATTTAATGCACAGACACAGTAGTATCTGAACACATTGCCATCACATGGAGTTTCAGAGTTCCCTGGCTTCATGAGTATAGATATTATTTGTCTTGATTAAAACAGCCTGTCACTAACCAACTTACAGCATTTTGGGATTCCCATTCTAGATTGGAATCAGAGTGGACTGCACACAATTTTGTGTCACTGACATATTTCATATTGACATTGGGTATTTGGGTATTGAGATTTCTCTGTGGAGTTGCATGTTATAGATTGCTCGTGTTCAAGCTTCCAAGTCGGAAGTTCATGACTGTGCACTTTTGTGAGCAATGGATTTGATCTGGGCAGCTAGGAGGGTGTTTTCTCTCTGCTTGATTTGCTGTTATTTGTGTTCAGATGATAACAGGAATAGGGATCTGTTCTTCCTCACTTAATTTTTTATTGGATGAGGAAAAATTATTGCTGCAATTCACTGATTTAATAATCACTCATCCCTATACGTCTGTCACTCTCAAAGTAAATCACTAGATGTGCTTTGTGTAGCTGAAAAAATGAAAGTCTGGTCATTACTGATTTACATTCCATGCTTACTCTGATCCTTTCCATCCATTATTTTGTTTGACATGATTTAATTAATTGCAGTTGCAAGTTTCTGACAAATTACATATTTCTGAGTAATTATGAACAACAAGTGGTCATGTGACACTGGAATCAATGACAATCATCAAATGTTTTATCCCCTAACCTTTTTAGACTATATTCTTGTCTGTATTTCTCTTAAACTGTTTGTTGAAGACAATGTAATAGTTGCACTTAACCTAGTTGAAGCTCGCTCGCTCTCTCACACACACACACACACACACATACACACACACACACACACACACACACACACACACA